CACCGAAGGAAAAAAAAGAAGAAAAACACTACCCGCAACAAAGTGCATAAACATAGCAAACAAGGTCTTCTGCTCATAAATAATGTTATTTTTTCCAAAACAAATTAAACAAAACCAAACACAAAACCCCCAGAAAAAAGATTTTAAAAAGAGGAGGGGGAGGGTGTAGATAATGGATATAAAGAATTCCTAATTGGGAATCGAACTCGCGTTTTCTACTGGCGACATCGGAGTGCCTTACAATTACATCACATAGCTGGTACGGATGCTTGGAAATGCTGTCGAGTCTGATCTTAGAAGTTTGTTTTAGAAAGAGGGTTAAGGCACTTGCAACATAATAGGTGCCGAAGACTAAAACTAAAGGTTTACAAATGAGTAACAATCACAAGAAAGGAGGAGAGATAAGGACGATAGATGTTTGATAGGACAGAAGGAGCAAACCACATCAGAGCACCTGCAAACCCCTCTCCCATAGACATTTACAACAAAGAGATTATTATAAGGGCTGTCACAATAGGGTTCATTCAATTCAGGTTGGCTTAACACTGAGCCAGCGATAACACACTGTTTTGCATTGGTGTGAGATTGTGTATCATGTCGCATTTTGTGCAAAAGCAACTTGGACAGGTTTGAGTCACGATGCAATGAAATCAGGCGCTCATCAGTCTTTGGATATAATATGAACTTATTGGCAACATATTAAAGCCTGTTCATTTGACTATTTTTCGATGACAAAAAAATACTCATCTCTCTATTATAGAAGTCGAGATATTTGCTATAGATCTAGAAGGAGGTGGAGGTTGTCTGGTTTCAGATACACTTTTTATACCTTTAACTTTAATCAAAGTTTTTCAGTAAAATTCTCCTAGAAATGCGTTTAAAAATGGCCATAAAAGGTGTTGATCCAACCACCACCCCCCCAAAATAAAATTCGATAAAAATTGCCTCACCTGTTGAAAAAAGCCAATATATTCGATTTCATTATTCTGACGAGGGCCTGATTCACAACGATACCTGCCATATATTTTATACAGGAGAACCAACTCTAACTGGTCAGACGTTCAAAACAAGATTTTTGGCCAGTACAAACGACCACTTCCCATTTAAAAAAAAATCAAATACCTTAACGTATATAAGACAGCCACTTTTCTCCTCGACAATGGATGGCCGTTTTGGACAATTTTGACTGCATTTGTCAGCTCATTATAATAGCTATTCGCTGTTGGGAACCCCCAAGGAGTTTCCGGAGGTGACAATTTTAATTGTTAAACAGTGAAACAATCTCTGAACCC